AAGAATTGTTTAATTTCTAAATATCCATTTTACTTTGCAATTGAAAACTCTCAAGAAGAAGATTACTCTACTGAAAAGCTTTGGGATGCGTTTAACTTGGGTGTCGTGCCTATTATATGGGGTGCGCCTAATACTCGTTCTTACTTACCGGATCCCAAATCTGCTATTTTTATTGAAGACTTTAAGGATGCCAAAGCTCTTGCAGATTATTTGAAATATTTAGTTAAAAATGAAACTGCATATTTAGAATATCATAAGTGGCGGACTATGAAGTTGCATGATGAATTTGAGAAGAAATCATACATGAGTATGTATAATGTTGAATGTAACGCTTGCAGAGAGGTTGCTAGGCTAAGGATTCTTGAAGAATATAATAATACTAAATACGATAATACTGATAGATAACTTGGTGATTACTGTCTTGTATAGCCTATGATAGAAATAGTAAACTTAATTTTAATGTTTCCAGCTGGTAAGGAAATATCGATACAAAAGTGTAAACTCTAATGATTTTTCATTAAAAAAATTAATAATGTACTTAATTGCATGGTTAGAAAATTTTATATATACAATAGAAAAATTTTTATAGGTTAAAGAGGTTTCGTAACTGTAATTGTTTTTTTTTTATTTGACGGACTTCACGTCTTCACTTACAAATAATAACAAATTTACCACACTAATAAAATCATTTATTAAAAGTTACATTAAAGTATATGTATTTCAAGATTTGATGCTTAATTAAAGAATCATTGAAACGAGAAAAAATAAGTCGTATATATAATTTTACATATAAGATCTTTGCTAGGAAAATCGAACTTAAGGCACTTACTTGCATGTTAATCATTTTTGCCTCGACAAGCCAATTAATCGGAGTGATTCTCCTAGCAAAAAGATCCTATAGATACTTGCTTTTTAAAGATATTTACTACAAATAACCGGTGGCGATCGTCACCGCCTTTATTTTTAGGGTCACGGTGCAGAGACAGGTCAGATATAAAGGTTCAGATTTTGGTTAGAAGTGGTTTTGGAAGTCCTTTTTTTTTTTTTTTTTGAGATATTGTGATGATTATCAATGACTCTAGTAAGTATTATTCTTTTTTAAGAGCCATTAAATTTTTCTGATGTTGTTCCTAAGATAGATGACCAAAAGAAAAATAAAGCCCCAAATAACATCTACGATAAAGAGTTCAAATAATCTATGAAGGTTTGAATAAAATTTATTAGAAGAATTCAAATAACATGAATTTTTCATAAACAGGATCATTTAATTTTTAATTCAAATTAAAATATGTTAATACAAATTAAAATATGTTAATATTAATAAAATAAGTTTACCTTTGCCAATCTGAGTATTAGATACATATTGCCTAGAGATGAGAAAATAATATATATAAGTAAATTGGTTTAAGTTTTAAATTATGAAAGAATTTTGATAACTAATAGTTTAATATTTATGTTTTACGATTAAGTAAAGTTTGGCAAAGGTAATAGCAATTTGTTATTAAATGAGAAAAAATAAAGTAGTTCGAATTGAATAATTTTTGATAAGTAATCTGATAAAAAAGAGTAATTATAAAAGGAATAAGCAATTTTTTAAAAATTATAAAAAGGATATTAAAAAGAATTTATATTTTATTTAAAATATGTGAGTTTTCTATGTAAATAACAGGTCAAATCAATTAATATTGAATACATACTAAGAGACAAGTTTCGTGAAATGAATTTGACAGTCTATTATAGATTATCAGTATATTAGCAGCATATTTATAGCATATTGGTAAGATACTGAGAGGTAGATTAATACTAATAACTGAGAGGTAGATCGATACTAATAACTGAGAGGTAGATCGATACTAATAATTTAATAATAAAATGTTAGAATATCTTAATATTATACTTTTAAACAAAAAGTGTTAATAGTAAAATATTATAATACATTAATATTTTACTATTATATTACCAGTATTGATTTATCTTCTGATATTTTACAAATATGCTACTAATAAATTGCCAATATGCTGTAAGTATTTGGTAAAAAACTATTGAATTCATATTAAAAAACTTGTTTTTTAATATGTACTTGACATTTATTAATTTAGCTTATAAGAAATTTAAACCTTTTTTTACTATAATTTTGAATAAAAAGTGAAATTGGTTTTAAAAACTAGCTTATTAAATGTAATAAGTTTAAAGATTGAACTAGAATAAAATTTTTAAGACTAAGCTTTAAAAAATTTAGAACTTAGTAACCAAAAGAATAAATATAGTTGTTGAATTTTTTTGAATAATATAATGTTTAAATTAATTTAAAAATTAATATAAGCTACTAGGGTTTTGTAATTTGATTTGATTTGATTGGTTAAATATTTAATTTTAAATCAAGTTCAAATTTGAAATTTTCAAACCAAATAAAATTTAAATATAGTCAAATTTGTTTTAATTTAACAAATATTTAATTTAATTTAAAATTTATAATTGAATGTTTAAAATTATAAGTTATTTACTTAAAATTTTATTAAGACAATTGAATTTTTATTTTATGAAATTAAAGATATTTTGTTTAGCAAAATATCTTTATTTAAGAGCTCAAGATCAAGAAACATAGTAATTTTTTTTATAAATTAAATTTTATCTTTATTAACTAATATTTTAAATTTTTTTAAATTAAATCAAATTTAAATATTTGAATTAAATATTTAATCAAATCAAATTCAAATCTAAAATTTTCAAATCAAATTTAAATTAATTTGATATTTTATTTAATTTAAATTTAAAAACCTATAAAAGTTATTATTATATAATTAGTTTATATTATAAAAAAGAAATATTAATAAATTTAATTGTTAGTTATTAAATATATTTACAAATAAATAGTAATATTAAATAATTTAAAATTTTAAATAAAAAAATATAATAATTTGTAGATAATTGATACTAAAAATAAAACTTATATTTGTATAAAAAAAAAAAGCAAAAAAAAACTAAAAATTAAATATAAAATTTAAGTTTTATAAATTACCAGTAGTTTTTTTTAAAAAATCAAGATTTATTAAATATTAAAGTGTTTTTAGATTAGTAAAAAGTGAAAATTTTATTATTATGCAAGACAGTTCATTGCACTAATCTTAATTTTGCAAAAATGAAAAAATAATACATTTAAGTTTACTCAAAATTTACTTTAAGAAACAGATTTTTTGCTATAAAAAATAAAGAAAAAACTCAGAAACAGCCTAAGTTTATTAGAACAACTTCTTAAAAAAGTTACTTATCTAAAATATTAAAAAATTTTTTAAAAATTTTTAGAAAATTTTCAAAAAAATTAAAATACTAGCTGTAATTCTAAAAAGCTAATTAATTAACATATAAATAAATTATAAAGTAAACAAATATATAAGTTAAAATAAACAAACAAGTAAATAGAGCAACAAGTATTCAAGCATTTAACAAACACAAAATATAATTAGCTAAATAAGGCACTACAAATAAAAGCAAACATAATTATTAGATTAGTAATTAGTTTAGAAATTTCTAAAACAAAGCTAAATATAAAGTTAAATAAACAACTAATAACAAAAAATAGTAATAACAAAAATTAATATATTATATAATCTAAATCAAAGAACAATAGTAAAAAGGATGCCTGTTTAAACAAGCAAAAAAAGCATATTGCAAAAATAGATACTGATATAGCAAACTTCCTAAATGCAAGTGACCTATTACAGGTATATATTATAAGAGTCTTAGTAGATAAACATAAAGAAATATGCAGAAATAGTATTATAAAAAAAATTACAACAATGAAAGAAAATGTCTTAATTAACCAAAAATGAAAAACCATAAAATAGTATACAAGATATAACATATAATAGTAAAAAAAAATGTAAATTACAGAACCAAAAATAGAGTTAAAAATGTTAATACTATAATTAATAATTCAAGAAGATTGTATAAAAAAAAGAATTTAATAGAAAAAAAAGAAATTGATAACTCAAAAAAAAAAAATAAATAACAAAGCAGTTAAAAGTAAATCTTATTAAAACAAAGACAAAATAGAGCTAAAAGCACTAACAATACAGTTAATAATTCAGAAAAATAGTCTTAAACAAAGACATTTAGAAGATGAAATAGAAATAGTAAACAAAAAATAGATAATAGAGCTAATAAACAAATAAATGTTTTTTTTAAATAAAATAAAATAAAAATACTTAAGAATTTTTTTTTTTAAATATTAATGCCTTTAACTTTATTGAAATTCAATTAAAGTTTTTACAAAAAAAAGCTTGCTTTTAAATTACATATGAAGAATAA